TTTCTTTCCATAAGTGTCTTTTTACACACCGGCACCTACGTATATGGAGCATTTTTGGACGCATTCACACGCTATCTCTAGAATGGTAAACCTATTTTTAGACTTAACGTTTACTATATTATCAAATGGGAAGTCTCTTATTTCTGTCTGTGTATTCATTTTTTTGGAAGGAAGTTTAGACGCTTTCGGGTACAGCAGAAAGGATCTATGTGGTCGATGACGACGTTCTAATGAACAGGCATTCATCATCAAGCAGTTTCGGGGCCATGTGAGGCTGAAAACTAAGCTCTAGGACGGACAACTTCTTGTCAGCGAATGACGCCAAAGTGTGGTGGTCGGTTTATAGGCGAGCGGCAACAGAGAGCAATAGATAATGGACAAAGAACAATGAACAGAGAATTAATTGATTACAGGGGCTACGCCCCAAATCAGACGAAAAATCCCATGCGAACGCACAAGCCCCTTCCAAATCGCAGAAACAGTATCGATCGTTGAATACGCCTGTCTGGCTTAACGAGTAAAATTTCCACACAGGGACCCCACAGGCGTTTTTTCACGTCAAACAAAAATACAGGCTAGGGTGAATAAACTAGAAATAGTCCCTCCTATCCCACCCTGGACATCATCGGACAATACGGTCGAACTGCCATTCCCCTCTGTGTTTGTAGGTGGACTTATTTGAAAGTGCATATTCGTGATGTATTGGAATCATAAAGGACTCAGTCAAAAGGACTTGGGTGTATGGATTACATCTTCACTCAAACCAACACTCCACCGCGCGAAGGCGGCCAAATCGGCTACGTCTACATTGCAGCTCATTAAGCAAGCCTTTATGGGATTTGGCCTTGACTGCTTTTCCAAAATATTTGGCACCTACGTGCGGCCTCATCTAGAATACGCCATACAGGCGTGGAGACCTTGGACTGCCAAGGACTATACCGTCTTGGAGAAGATCCAAAGACGGGCGACCAAAATGACAAAAGGTTTGGAAGCACTTCCCTATGAAACCAGACTGTCACCTCTCAACCTGTTTTTTCTTTCCTAAAGGCAATTGCGTGGTGACCTTATACTAACATTTCGCGTTATCAACGGCCTAGACTGTTGTTTAGATCCCACTGATTATTTCACTCAAGCTAATACGCCCACTTTGCGCGGTCATCCCCTAAAACTACGCGCAGGGAAAGCAAGGATCAATGGACGAAAGTTCTTATTCAGTAACAGAGGGGTTGCAGCGTGGGATACCCTGCCTACCGATGTTGCAATCTCCTCCTGTGTGAATTCTTTTAAGTGTAGACTTGACGCGTATCAAGCTTCCCAATTACCAGCCCCACATCCACTCACATAACTCGGTACCAAATTATACATGTTTGTACTACGTGTAATTAGTAAGTAACCGTTAATTATTACTATTTTTTGACTAGCCGTCAGCTGTCCGCGATTATGTACAAAATCCCTTTTCCACCTTCCCACTTATCAATGCTTTTCTCCGACGACTTGTAACCACTAGGGGGTTCAAAGGCGCTCGCCTTTATTTCCTTTGATGAACTGAAACTGACAGTGAGTCGCTATCGACCAAGTGGCGGGACGTGTATGTAAAAACGATCTGAGGGAGAGCGCTTTTTAATACTTTCTGATACTGTAGAGACGTAGCGTATGCTAAAATAGTCTCAAGTGAGAGCGCCGGTAGGAACTGACTAATATAAACAGTTGGGTAACAAATATGATGCTTTCAAATGAATCTTCCCAGCATTGTTCAGTTGTTCAGCAGTATACTATTTTCAGTTACCAGGGGACGTTGAGGACAGGTCATTTCTCAAATGCGCTCTATCGTTCTCAACTCGCTTGTTCTGAGTAGAGAACGTTTCAAAAGATGAAACATTTTGAGTAACAACGAGCTCGTAATGCTGACTAGATCAAAGTTCAACCAGAACTAATGGCTTCGGCGCTCGACCTTAAACATGGAGAAAGGACTCAATAGGGTCATGGTACCTGATCGTCACTACTTCAAAGACAATTATCGGTCAGTTTTTATATCCTTGGTTAGTCTTATTTGATAATGCCAGATTAAAAAAAACAACTGGGAGTTTTGTTGCACCCTAGTATGATGAAAAGGTCAATTGATCTTGGCTTCTAACTATGGCGCTAATTTCATTCAAAAAACTTGTCGGAATTTAATGTTTTACCTCCGGAGGGTGTTGTTTTTTGGAAGTTGCACTGTCAATGTGCGAGGGTCGACAACTCGGTGGTTTCCAAATCAGAAGACAAGAAACGCAGTTAGAGGGACAGGCTCTTACTGAGACAGAGAGCCTGACAGTTCGACCGTCGGTTCCGACTATGTCCACCGTGTGCTACACGGCAAGATGCAGCAGGCACGATGACCTACGCGCGAATTAGTTTATAATGATAGTAGACTTGCGCAGCATCTACCGCACTCTCTCCTCCCCACTCACCACATGGACCCGGTGTCAAGAGAGTCGAGAACACCGGAAGCGGTGGAGGACACGGCCGGATCCGCACCCAGGCGTACCACCACATCCCTTGGTCCACAACATACACCTGACCAAGATTTTTCATCAGCAACAACAACGCCCCCAACAGGGGTCAGAAGGACGAGGATGACTGGGCAGCTATGCCCACCACCTGTATACCCAGCGGGAGCGCGAGCGCATCTACCGGCAGGGAACATGGTGTCAAGGAACTGCCAGCGCAAACCAGGCTGTAATGACCATGGCTTGCTGATGTTGGCATAGCGCACGCTTTCAGACCTTTTGACCTAGAAGGGCGACACGTAGCCCAGCATTTAGGTTGAGTAACCAGACAGTCGTCAACAGATAAGCACTATCCACAAGCACACAAACTCTCCTCGCACGCATGAGAGCGTCACATATCGCTTGAGAAGGGGCCGTGACAGCCTTGCTCCCAGCCAATCAGTCCGTCAATACACACAACAGGGCAGACTGCGTAGACTGAGTTGGGGCGTCAGTCGGCTGCCTTCCGAGCCACGGTGCTCGACACACCGTCTTCGTGGGAACAACGACGGTCACGGCCGAAGGAATGTCGAGAGGGACCGGGGGATCGGCGCAGTTGCAAAGCTGTAACAGTCGCTGACAACTGGGCAATCTGTGTCTTAAGTTTAGCCAGGTCAGAGGTGAACACGGTGAGAGGCTAGGAAACCTGAGCAATCGTCGGGGATGACAAACGCTTAACCTCCATCATACGGTCGGCCATCTCCGATAGCTTTGATATTTCTAGGTCGTCTGAGCCAGAGGCCAAGATTGTTTGTACCGACGTCAGTAGACGTTCTAAGAACATCTCATTAGAGAACTGGTCGTCGGTGATCATGTTCCCAACGAGAGAACGCATGCGACGCAAGAGTTTCGACGGCTTGCGATCACCTAAGGCCTCCTCTTTTACTAGTGCGTGATAACGCTGTCGATCGGAGACTGATGCCAGGCGAAGGAGTTCAGCCTTTAACTGGGTGTAGGGAGCATCAGTCGGGGGATCTGTCAGAAACGTCTGCACTTGGGAAAGAATGGTCGGAGGAAGGGCCTCGACCAACTTATAATATTTGTCCGTTTCACGTGTTATCTTGGCGGAGTGAAATGTCGCCTCGATACAGAAAAAATAAAGCCTTGGCGCATGTTGCCAAAAGTCTGGGAGAGAAGAAACAAGTCTTCTGAGTGAAGTAATGGCATCGTTGGAATTCGTAGAGGTCATGATGGTAGAAAGAAGGCAAACGCCAACCAATTAAAGGTATAAGCGTGAACGTTGAAAGGTCACCACCGTCGCGAGCGCTAAGGACAGAACCGTCAATCCCAGACTATGGATATCAGGATAAGCCCAGAGTTATGAGAGAATTAACAATCAAAAGTCAAACGACCTGACAATCCAACACATGCCAAGCGTCCGCGTCGTGTTGTGTTCCTTCGATCCAGTTAAACAACCAGTATGTTCAAGAATGAGGAACAGGTAGAGAAAGGCAAGATAGTCTGGCGCCTCGGCACAGTCAAACCACTTGTCCCTGCCGTTCAATGTTACCAAGTGCAAAACTCTGTCAACCTACGGTACATGTCCACCAGAACTCTACAAATCGTAGATGCTCAGGCGGGTCTGGTAGTATGGATCAAGCCCTCAATAGCGTTCCCGTTCAACTGCCCTACAGCAGCCAAATCTGCAATTTCAAACTTATATCTCATCAAACAGGCGTTTGTAAAGCTCGATGAAGAGTGTCTCGGCAAGGTATTCCAGACGTTCGTACGATCGAAATTTAAACCTGGAGGCCGTGGACTGCCGAAGACCGCAGCGCCCTCGAAAATCCAATAGCCTACAAGCAATCTCTTCCGTGGTCAAAGCTCACTTCCTTACGGAACACGGCTGTTCAATCTCGAACCTTTTGCTTTGGATTACAGACAACTAGGGGCGACCTGATAGAAGCGGTTCGCATGAGGCCGAGTTAGGACTGTTACCTTGCATTCGGAGACTTGTTCGAGCTGACCACCACTACTAGCATGCGAGGACATCCTCTGGAGTTATGTGTAATTGTGGCGAGACAGTACGTAGGAAGGTTTTCTTCTCCAACAGGGTGAGTGAGGTGTGAAATTCTCTGTAATTTCCCATCCGTAGGCACGTTTAAGTAGGCTGAACAGTACAGCTATATGCAGCACAGCGGCACCAGGGTTTAGCGCAATTCTCTCCCTGCATCACCCTCACATAAAAGTTAAGATCTGATATATACTACTTACCCTTATTCAGTAACTGGTTTCGTATATTGTTCGTCAAGTGTGTTGCATCGACGTAGGACGTCGCGATAAGCGTATTCTGGCTGATGTTTGGTGTCAACTGACATATTACCTAACAGGTTATTACTTGGTGCGTTATTATTCCTGACCCACCGCACACCCACTGACACATTCGTCCGTCTGACAACGCTTTGCATATTACTACATTTTTACGCAGCATAGTAAACTTACATATATTGAGCTCAAGGGCGCATGACCATATTTTCCCTCAACCAAACTGAACTAAACTTGGACAAGCGGTTGTAACACGCTTTTTCAAAAATTTTGACCCACTTAGGCCAACGAGATTCGTCCTGAACGCCGTGAAAACACGGTTAGGCGTAGTCTAACATGGCCTCACTTTCATGAGTGTGACGATAAAATAAAGTTCGATTTTCTTGCCGGCATGCAGTTAACACAGCTAATAGACAAGAAATAGTGAAATACACCTTACAACAAGTGAGTAATTTCCCCTTTGGAGCTACTTATCCGTCTCGCCACAAATGCAATTATGATAGAACATTTTTTGAGGAGCCAAAACCCACTACAGTGATTGCAGTTCAGAACGAACAAATTATCCTTTCGGAAGCCAACATTTGCCAAGGGCCTTCGAGAGACAGCAGGCCAATAAAACACCTGACTGCCAGCGGTCAAACAGACTAGAGTGCCTGTACTCCGGTTGTTCCTTGACGATAATCTTGAACCTCCTGCACAATGGCATCGCCATTTAATCAGAAGTTATAACCATACGACGCTTACTGGAACTAAAGTACCGTTTTCGACGATAAACCAATAAATTTGGTCTACATACAAACGCGCACGCAATGCATGCTAGATAACAGGACTGTGGCTCCCAGGCAGGAATTTATGAACGGCAAATTTCGAGAATCTACAAAAAGTAACTGCCACTGTTTTTGACCGCTTACGTCGAAACAGTATTATTCATCGCCAGTCTGAAGATGTGGACTTGAAGTTTAGTCACCAGACAATCGACGATCTCCTTTTTTCTTCAAGCGACGAGGTCAAAACCCAAACAATCTTACCCAAATAATTCGGATAGAAACATTTTAAGTATGGATTTTCTACTTCCCAGCGCAGTTTGTGGATTTATAGTGAAATTTATCACAAATATACGTTAATCAGAGGCGAACTTACCGATTCGGTCTTTGCTTTTCTTAGAACGACGGCGCTGGAGCCTAAGTGACTTCTCGAAGTAATGAGGATGAAACAGACTTCCCGTGTCATGGCACAGCCTCTGCGTTCATCGTTAAAGGCACCAAAACGGTTAAACTTTCATTGAGGACAACAATCAGGCCCTGCTACAAGAGAATACTTCGGGGGCATCCATTCGGAGATAGATAAAATCTGTTTTAGACAACCGACCGCTTCTTCAGATTGAGAAAGTCTGAAGGGGATCTTTGCCCGGCTGTGAGGCCTTACGAAATGCGGTCGATATGCTATCTCATGATATGTTAGCCAAAATTCTGGAATATGTTTTCGATTCGAAAAGATTACTTAAGTAGGGTTGCAATATTAATTGTTGTACAGCATAATCCAAAATATTTTCGTCCCTACAAGATCCTGGATTTCGAAAAAGCTTATTTTTGGCCATTTACAAAAACTGCTAAAAAGTGATTGTTAAAATAGTATGATTTTTTCATGAATTTTCGGTGCCCTTATAAAAGACAAATGCACAAAAATATTCATTCTTGTACTTATTTGGTAGCAAATTACTTCTAGTTTAAACTTCCTATACAAAACAGTGTATTTTTCGGTCTTAAAAGGGTTTTAAAATTCCTAGATTTCCTAGGGCCTTCAAATGTCCTTGTAGTATCGCTTCAACGCGTTTATTAGTGCTACTTATAAACTACACGACCTAGTCCACACACATCGCACAGTTTTATGAGTCTCATATTACTTTTTGATAACAGCGCAGAGGAATATGTGACATTCCTCAGATGGAATGTGTGCAGCATGTGGTTCAAAAACTCTGAATGCAAGTATAACGGCAAATACTGCAAAAATTACTTGGGAATTGGAAAACTCATTAAAAATCGAAAGACGCTCTCTCTTCATGAAGAAAATTTGAAGAAGTAATTTTCTAACAAATGGGTACAAAAGAGAATATTTCTGTGCCCGTTTTCTATGTACTGTATTTGAATTCATGAGGTCATTGAACATCAAGAGAAGAAATTGCACTACGTAAGTAATCATTTTCTGCGGAATGCAGCCTTTGCAGGCGGACGAAAAGAAGTTAATTCAAAAGCCGACATTCTGACGTGGCCGAAATGTCTTAGGATTATGCTGCACGAAGACTAATATCACAACCTCGCCTAGGTATTCTTTTAGAATAAAAACATACTTCAGAATCTTGGCTAACATATCATGAGATAGCACACCTACTGTATTCCATCCTTATCACCCGAGAAAAAATGTTTGCCTAAGAAGCATAATATTAAATCGTTCTGAAACCAGACTGGCAAATTCTGAAAGGTGGGTGGTCAGTGTTTGTTGTACCTAAGTAGACTGCTAATCAAACATTTAAATGTTTGACGAGCAGCAAACACGTATCAAACTCTTAGGTATCCGCCCGGGAGAGGGGAGAATGGGTTAACAAGAAATGGCCACTCCCGTTTCCCTGGTAGTGGCTGGAAACACTTCTTGATCCAGATGTTTATCTCGGTGTCCTGTTATGCCTTCGTAGCAGTGCTTGCTGGTTCCAGAAATCCCCAATCCGAATGTCGTGGTTTCTGAATGAAAAGCACGTAATTACAGGTGTTATTTAGGCTGGAATGTTAGCAGTGATAAAGCTTTTTTGATGAAGACCCTATTATTATTGAACATGGAGTCCGCAGAACCCACATGTCAGAGAAGCTAGAGTGAAGTCTTAAGCCGGGAAAGTAAGCACGAGCGTTGAGACTCGGAAATGCTATTAAAAGTTGAGTTGGAAGCCATTAGAATCGACCGCACAATCAGCTTTTTTTAGGTCACATTTAATGCCACGCAGCCAGACCTAGTAACGCCAAGCAGTGTCGATCGGTGGCTAGCGTGCAGCAAAAACTATACATTCACACATTCTTCGGGAGGAGGAGGCGCACAGAAAGCCTTGCGAAAATGACCTGGGGGGATGTAAACCGGAGGAAAAACTCGTCATCTCTGTTATGTGGAAAAGCTGCGACGGAAGAGCTTCATCCGGCTGTGATTGTTTCCAACACTTTTCTCTACAGGCTCCACACGAGGACCTTAGTCTCATATTTTCCCACGGTAGTTTATGTTGCTTTCAGAAACCTTAGTGACACTCTTTACCTCTCCCGCATCTAATTTCCTCAGGACTCCACTCTCATTCAATTTTTAGAAGCCCAACTGGAAAATAAACTCATCATTGAGACTAGTGTTTGTGCCAATCAATGCAGCTGGTATGGAACTTACATATCAGGGTGTTCGGAACGTAATTGCGTTTTCATACCACTATGAAATATAAGCCAAACAACTGTTATATCTTTGATGATTGTTTTGTTGCATCATCGTCTTGTTCCCAGATGGCATTATCACCGCATTACTTGGTCTCTTATACTCGATGCACTGCTTACCGTATTACCAATCGCCATCTCCTCCATCTGACTGTGTAATAACCCTTCAAGGAGGACAAGGACCTTTTTAAACAACATATTTGCCGTTGCTTGCAGTACGAATTTTGAAGCAGAAGCACTGCTACAAAAACAGTGGAAACATTCATGAAGTGTGTCCTGATGCAGTTGGAGCTCATGCATATGAGCTGTGTTTTAAAAAAATTAAAGACAGAGATTGTGACATATCCAACTAGCAGCTTTTTGGAAGGAGACTCCCTCTGGATAAAACCTTCTGAATGAGGCTATTGAAATGGGTCCAAATCAAAGCACCGGAGATTTGTTGCAAAATTTAGTGCATCATCCTCAACTA